GTGGGTATCAGCAATTTACTGCTTATATTTTTTCGATTTTTTGCTTTTATGCATATTTTAAACTAGTGTTAGTTTTCTTCTGTATTCTCTGTGTTCGTGTGTGCGCTTGTCCGCGTGCGGTCATGCGCTCCACGTGCTCCGTCGTGATAATTTTGTCCTTTTCTTCGTTTTTTTTTTTTTTTTTTTTTTAATCTTTACACTTGCGTTTTTCTTCCGGCAGTTGGTGACTTAGTCTGGGTTTGTTCCGCCTCTAGACGTGTGACCATTTTTTATTTATGTGCATTTTAGTTTTTTGCTAAGGAATTTGTATTTCGTTTTTTTTACATATATAATTTATTAGGTACAATCGCAGACTGTGAAATTTTACCTTGAAAAAAAATGACGTATCTTAAGACACAGTTTTTTCTACCGTTTTTTTTTCGAAATAGGATACTTGATTGCTGTTTAAACACGGCTTACAATGATGAAGGCACTCTCGACATTCTCAGAATACCCCTGAGGTCGATATATAAAAGTTGCCACACTGAGAAGAATACTTCTGAAAACTCACCAATACTAAATTGAATTTTGTTACTCGCCATTTTTAAGGCTACTTATGAAACATGTTAACATTACATTGGATATTAATGAGAAGAAATTCAATTTAAAATCTAATGGCATTAGGCTTTTCAAATGTAGCCCAATTGGCTACTTATTGGTCATTAATATTTGATTTACAAACTAATGAACATTAAATGGGGTATCACTTTTGTTTAACCAAGATGTTATAAACTGATCCTCCATTTTTGCCATAAAGGATTCCGTATTTTTCTCTAACAGTGAAAATATTATTCTGGGCAGTTTCCTTTTTTGAACTCCTATGGGAGCGTGCAACGGCCGAAACGTTGTGATAACTATGGCGACAAAGATGAGGACAATAGCCCGAATAATGTAAATAGTGTGCGAAAATGTCTTCCATATGAATTGTTTGATTGTAACATTGGACAGCGTCTTAACAGCTACGTTTCACTTCTTGCCAGACATGTAAAAATAATCTTTCGTCAAAGACCGAATAAAGAAAACTATATCAAATGTTTGGTGTCAATCATCAAAAAAATTAAAACATTTTTAAACTACAAAAAAGATTAAAAAATCGAGAAAATGTGTCTCACACTAACTTTCTGTTCATTAGACAACGTCCCACCACTTGCAATTCACTTCTTGGCTGAGCTGCAAAGATACCTTTCTTTGTGGGTGGTCTAACGAGAACCGGTGTATTAATAGCGAACTACAGAGAGTAATGATCGCCCACGCTCTTACGAGACATTTAATAAATATTTAGTATAGTATTCATGTCAAAATTCCACCGTATATAATCTTTACAATAGTTCGATTGATTGATTTTTTACGGCTTATCAACCCTTTGTGAGTTATTTAAAGCTGAAACATATTTTGTATTGTAAGAATTATACTTTTTTTTTGGCAAGTGAATATTGCATTAAAAATTTGTTGAGAATAACAATGATTTACCAGATACAAGAGTATTTAAACAATACAATCAAATACTAGTTTGAAAATAAGAAAAGTAACCAATTGAAGTGGCCCAATTAGTCTCCTTACCTGAATCCGATTGATTGTTGCTTAAATTTTTACGGCTTATCAACCTTTTGCAGGTTATTTAAAGCCAGAAATTATTTTTAGATTGTAAGAATGTTTTTCGAGATAACAATGATTTAGTGATACTGATAAATTTAATCTTACTAATTAACCCATAGCAGGGGCGCGAGCAGAGGTTGATTAATATCTTTCGCAAGGGTATTTGCGTGTAAGTGAATATAACTAACCCAGCTGGAACTGGAACTCGCTTCGCCAACTTCCAATTCCGAGCCCTTATCCTTAACACGAAGACTAAAGCACCTGGTAGAATAAAATGGAATACCCATCTAGATGCTGAATGACCAGTCTGAACGTTGCTTAACATCAGTGATCATCCAAGAACCGGTGCTTTAACATGATATGATCGTAAACCGAATCGGATCAAGAATCCGTGTCTTTACGCGTCAGTCTAGTAAATTGAAAAAAAAAAAGAAAGGAAGATATGCTGACGGCCATATTACGTTGGAATACTGGTTCTCGTCTCATCACTAAAGTTAAGCAACATTGAACCTAGTTAGTACCCTTATGGATGGCCTCTGGGGAATGTCAAGTTCTGTATGTCTGGATATGCGGGTAGTGTGATGAACAATGTTTAGGAATGAGAAATAGGTGAGCCGAGTTCAAATACATTTACTTACGCATAAATACTGCTGGGAAAGATATGGATTCATCTCTCCTCCACCTATGGGTTGAATAGCAGAATAGATTCGTCCCTATATCCTTATTTGACAACCAGACTACTGCAGAAAGTAACTGTGGCCTATTGCGGGAATTCTTCAGCCAAATCAGTCATGAATCAAAAAGAGACATGATCGCTCAAATGTGTTACGTCCGTCCCTAGCAACACGCATTGAGACATTATTGCAGGGTAATGGCCCATTCCTCAGCATGAATGACAAAGATGGTAAAATTTGGGGAATGTCTAAGTCCAATGCATTTTCTCGGGCTAACGTTCTCAGCTGACATGAGGTGGAAAGACTACATTGAATCCGTTGCTTGATCTGCTGCTAAGAAAGTTGGTTCACTGTGTCGAGCGAGGCAATTTTTCTCTCCGGAATCTATCTTGCATATGTATAAGTCTACCATTCGTCCCATGCTTAGAATATTGCTTCCATATATGGTCCGGCGCCCCTGCCCTTTACCTGCAGCTCCTTGATAAGATCCAAAGAAGAATCAACAATATTTTCTTGGTCCTGATCTGGCGGGCGGCTCGGCTTCAGTCCACCGCCATAAGGTTACCTTTCTGTGGCTTTTTTTCTTAAAATAAATACTTTCATGGTAATTTTTCGGATGAGCTATTTTTTTAAAATGTTGTTTTATACCCCCCCTCCACAGAAAATGGATTGTACATAAGGGGACTAGTTAGGACTTTCATGGAGACAATGAGGTATTATGGTGGATGTAGTAGGGAGGTAAAAATGCGTTGTTTTCGTGTAAGGAACATTATTGTATGTTTGGGTCAGTGTTTGTAGCTAGCTAAGTTTAATCTTAAGACAGAAGACTGTCCTTTTCCCCATTCGCCATTTTGGCCTCGCGCCACATCTTGTATAATTTTTACAAATAAATATCGCTTTTTGCTATGATACCTAGACTATGAATTTAAGCGAAATTCTAGACTGGCGTCGAGATCTCATCAATTTAAAGTTGAGCTGGCGAGATGTAGCCGTAAGTTCTATGCTAATAGCTTATTATATCGCACTTCTCGCTTGTGGAACTTCCTCCCGGCTGTACGCTTTTCAGCTAACTTTCATATGCAAAAATTTAAATGCAATGTCAATCGCTATCTACTGTCCTCCTGAATGGTCTTTTCTTTTTCTCTTCGTTACTAATGTTTCTGTTCCTAATTCCTCCACACCCTATAACCTCTTGCATGTTAGTGACTGTACTTGCTTGGGGTGACACCGATTAAAAAAATAAATAAATAAAATAAAGGACTTTTACAGGCGAAGAAGAAGATCTGTCATGAAGAGAGATCCAAAATATCTGTAGAAGAGTGTTTGAATTTAAAGGCAATTCAAGGCAAGAGACTGCAGGCTGTCATTATTAGAACCTCTTTCATAAAATATTAGGCTGTATTTGATTTTGCTTTGTGAAAGATTATGAAAAGCTTTTGGTGCTAAAAAAGCGCCAAAATTTTTCATAACCGTGTTCTAAAAGAGTTGGGTCATGGTATTATCTGATGTTTGCAGTTAATACAGCCACATTTTGGAAACATTTATCCCTTTTCTTTTTACGTTTTTCTGTCTTTGTTTTCCTTCTTAATGTTTTTTTTCTTTTTCATTTTCAACTACCTTCTTTCGCCTGTTCATCTTTCTTTCTTTCTTTTCTGTGTTTTGGCGTTTTAACTTTCTTTCTTTTCTTTTCTTTTTTTTTACCTTTGTTTTTTTTTCCCGTCTAACCATATTATCTTTCTTTTTTTTGCCTTAATGTTTTTTTCTTTTTCATTTTCAACTACCTTCTTTCGCCTGTTCATCTTTCTTTCTTTCTTTTCTGTTTTGGCATTTTAACTTTCTTTCTTTTCTTTTTTTTTACATTTGCTTTCTTTTTTCCCGTTTAACCATATTAGCTTTGTTTCTTTTTTTTCCCTTCTTCTGTTTGTATTGCAGACAAATCCTTTAAATGAACACTAACAAATTTTGCATAGAACAGCCACAAATTATCAGTTATTTATCTCAAGTTTCACTGCGCACTCCACTTTTGTGACCTTGTACCAAACGAAGCCCAAACCCATAAAGCATTCATCTACAGCTTGACGTGCTGTATTTGATATCATATAAAACCTTTTTCCTTACCAAATATTCGAATTTCATAAATCTTTTTGTAAATGATTGAAAAGAAACTCGTTTTGAACCTGACCAAATTGGGTACATCGATAAACTTCTGACATTCGATGGAACGAGCAACGATTTTTCTTAATATTCCACGCTGAAATGAAATGCGGGTCTGAGATGCTAATGGGTCTTAAATGAGGACAACTACAGTAAATACCATATTTGCCCGTACATTGGCGCGCAAAACAACATATTTATTTCCCAACTTTGCATATGGTACCAGTTTTCGTCATCTCTCATCATAATGAATATATCCTTCTTGTGGATACGCGCTTATATATGTTGTCAAGAACAGAAACAGCTGTTCATATTTGTCTGCTGTTGCTTGGTTGTAATTGTAGTGGTGATGACGGTGGTGGCAATAATGTATTACTTATGCCGATAGCATTGACGGTGGTAGCGTTATCTCCAACGGTCTACCACTATAGTAATACTGGTCATAGACATATTATAAATCTTGTTATTATTGGTAATAGTAATAGTAGTAGTAATAGCAGTAGTGGTTTGAAGTATCAGTAGCAGTAGAGGGAAAATATGGCAATCCATTTATTAAAACTTTTTCTTTCTTTGTCTTTTTTTTTTAATCTCTTTTCTTGTACTATTTTTTCTTTCCGTTTTTAAGACTTTTTTTTGTTTTCTTTTCTTCTTTTCAGTCTTCTTCCCCCCCCTTTTATCTTTCATAGGAATTTTTATCCTTTCTTCTCATTTTCTTTCTTTTTTCTTTTTTCCATTTTCCATTTCTTGGCAGTTTTTCTTTGCTTTGATTATTATTTTAAATTCTATTTCTTTCGTTATTTTCTTTGTTTTCCCCTTTTTGATAGTTTTACTTTCTCTCTTTTTATTTCCTTTTCGTTTATTCTATTTTTATTTGGTGGTTCTTTCTTTCTTTCTTTCTTTCTTTCTTTCTTTCTTTCTTTCTTGTTGCTCGTGGTAGTTACTGAGGTGTCACTAATAGTCACCATAATGACATTATTGGTAGGAATTGCATAATCACCTAGTTTATTAGGCTTGTTATTGATGTAAACCAAATGTAAATGGCTAACGCTAAAACTCACTAAATCTTGATAATATAACTGGAATTAGTAGCTAATACATAGATTTCGTAGCATGAAGTGCTATTAAACTGGAAAAATAAGCAGCCAGTTGGGGTTAGGTTCACTGTCATTTTTTTCACAATATTGTAAACCTTGCATAGCTTCAGACGAAAATATGAGATGAAAATAACTCGGAAGAACATACCTTTAAAAATAAAAAGAACGGTTTAGAGAAACATAGCATCTATCTATCTATCTATCTATCTATCTATCTATTAGCTGTTTATAACATTTGATATCACAGGTGAGGTATATTAACATTATTTACATCAGTAGATAATGTGAAAATATAAAGGATCAAAATCTATCTATCTTTGTATGTTCATTATCTATCTATCTATCTATCTATCTATCTATCTATCTGCATTTTCATATCTATCTATCTATCTATCTATCAGCTTGTTGATTATCTATCTATCTATCTATCTATCTATCTATCTATCTATCTATCTATCTATCTATCTATCTATCTATCTCTTCGCCTTTTCATATCTATCTATCTATCTATCTATCTATCTATCTATCAGCTGTTTATAACACTTGATATCGCAGGTGAGATGTATTAACATTATTTACATCAGTAGATAACGTGAAAATATAAAGGATCAAAATAGCTACGAAGAACACATTTTTCATCTTTCGAATTATAAAAGAGATGGGAAGCTGATGTGAAATGGATTTATTACTCATTAGTTACGTCAAAAATCCTATTTAGTCGAAAGTTGGCGTATATAGTGACATTGCAAATTGTAGCGGTAGGTAGAAACAAGGAATGTTATTCAGTGTGATAGATTAGCAATGATGATACACGAACCCAACAGACACCGGCCAAAGTTCAGGCATTTATTACTACAGCCCACTGGCCTTGCCGATAATTCACTACTCCCAACATAGCTTCGTTTTATTTTTGCAATAATAAACTATTAGTATTTTTGGTGACAGGGAAAGATTTTTTTTATCATACGTTCTTTAATAATTCTTTTTTCTTAAATTTTAATTGAAAGACAAGGAGAATGGGATTGTTGGTTACCTGGAACTAGGGGTGCACCGATTAATCGGCACGTAATCGGTAATCGGCCAATTTGCTTATCGGTGCATCCCTACCTGGAACTAAGATAAACATTACGGAGAGAATAGAATTATTATCAGTAAATGTAAATGCATTGCTAATGATTTTATCAGATAATTTCTTAATCATTTCACTCCAAGCAAAACGAGACAGCCACTGGAGACGTAAGGTGTTACTGAGGATGAAAGATAATACAATGAAAGGGACTAGGAAAACATTACTAAGGAGGAAAGACAATAAAAAGAACCACATTCAAGGATGACGATTAACGTAGCATTTTATATTTGTAGACTTTAATTGATAGAAAGGCAATGAACTGGAAGAGGAATTGTCAAGGGTCATTTTAGAGAAGAGCGAGAGAAGAAGTTATTAGAATAGAAGTTAAGGTTAAATTTATACATTTCAACAATAAAATTCAACTGTAAATGATGAGATCTAGATTCTAATCTACTACTACGCTTAAACTCATAAAGTCGAGGTACCAAAAATGGTCAAGAATCAAAGGTGAATCCTCAAAGAACCAAACAAGAACTAGAACTAAAAAGCTTTGGAATTATTCTAAAATCTCAGTTACAATATGTTTATGCAATTCCCATATTTTTTCAAGTAGCTACATTAAAAGATGTTTTGCATCTATCTATCTATCTATCTATCTATCTATCTATCTATCTATCTATCTATCTATCTATCTACAGCTAACCATTCAGCATAGGGTGAATCGGGGTCATTGGGGTGACATTTGAGCGGACCGCCCCGGGTGATATTTACTCTAGCTACGCCACTGCGTCAGATCATTCCTTAGTCAGTGTCCAGACTAATATCAAACCAAGGCGATCTTTAACTCAGGCCTATACAGCGCGTGTAGCTCTTCAGGCACCGGGGGACAACTGTCAACACGCGAAAGTTCGTTGTTGGAATCGGATTAAGAAATTCATTTTTTTTATGTTTATTTATTTTAACTTTCAATATTTTATCTTTAAACAAACCTTTTCGATGCGAAATTCACAAGTATCATTAAGAATTTTATCACATAAAAATAAAAAGTTAATATAAATGAATATTTTCTCTATGCTATTGTTCTTCAACAATGACAATATTAAGTATAAAATTAATTTTTTATGAATAATTTATGTTTTTCTTTAACAGAACAAACAGGTATTATTTGCTTTTTAAAAGTATGTTGAATTTTTCTGTCATTCATAAATCAGTAGAAGACATTAAAAACAAAGTAACGTTTACTACAAAATTAATGAAAAATGATACTTATTAAAGGATTTATTATAAAGTTAATGCCAGAAATTAAATCCAATAAATTTAATATTTTACAACTATTAAAAATATACCACAAAATTATAAAGAAGACATTATTGCCTTGTCAATATCGTTTCTTTTTACATTTTTTCGATTATTTTAAATAACGAAATTCACAAAAAATGTCATTAAGAATTTTCTCACAGAAAATTAATTGAATTTTTTTCTTTGTGTTTTTATTCTTCATAATAACGAATATCTTGATTATAAAATCCATTTTTTAAGGAATCATTTGTGTTTTCTTTATAACACGTAAAGTATGTTATCAACCTTGTAAGAAAACAAAAAAAAATTAATGTAACTTTTTGCACAGCCTATTTTTCAAAATGAATATACAGAAATTAAAAAAAAAAAGAATAACAATTTAATTTAATATTTTTTCCGATATTATTCTTCATAACAAAATAATTATTTACACATCGGTATTTATTTGTTGTAAAAAATGTAAAACAACAAAAAAATTAACTAGTTTAATATATTTTTTAGATATACTGTAAAAATATCAAACTGGTTAATTTTATTTAGATAATCGTATTTTATGGGGAGGAGGTGATTAATCTGCATCCCCCATAAAACACGATTATCCAAATATTCTAATGAGGAAGGTTCAGTTCACTATGTAACTTCAACATAAAACTAACCTTGACCAGTGAAACAATTTGAAAATCCTTTGGAACCAAGTAATTCCTCAAAGACAACGGAAAATAACCTAAGAAAAAGATGACAAATTCCCACATTCACACAAACTTTGAAATTCTTAATTCTGAATTCTAAACCCTTCCAGACCTTAAAATAAAGGGTTCATACACTTTTTAGAAGCACCATGAAATTTTTGCAAAATAATGGTTTAAGTTAGGAGGCTATAATCACCAAGAAAATCGTCGGGCGTGCGCCTAGAAACAACCTCTTGTGCGACGAGCAGGATAGATTTCGATCCACTGCTGACCTAACTACCCTTGCACACAGAATTAATAAAGATCTTGACGACAAACACACCTCAAAGACCATAGCATTAGATATAACGATGACCTTTGACAAGGTGCGGCACAAATGTTTGCTAGATAAGCTCACCAGCCACGGAATCGTTGAAAGGTTTCTCAATTATAAAATCCTTCCTAACAGGTAGATCCCTGAAGGTAGTTATTAACGGCCAGGCCTTCGAGGCCCTGGCGGTCAACTCTCGGACCAACTCTCTTTTTAATTTAAATAAATGATCTGCCTAAGAACATACTCAGATCATTTGTAAACCTGCATGTCGATGAAACGGCGATATACGGACGCACCCCAAAAACTAGAGTTGGCATTTCTTTCGATCTAGCACTAACTTCCCAGTGGGGATGAAACTGGCTGGTTACATTCAGTGTCTCAAAAACCAAACTAGTTACATTCTATCACCTCTGATCTGACCTAAACTACCACCGCTCGCGATGAATGGATGTTTCCTTGGAGAAGCACCGTGCCTTGGGAGACTATTGGGCCTCAAACTCACACCTGACCTCGAGTAGAACTCTTATATATGATCCATCGCTAAAGATGAAGGTAAATGTTCGGATCTCAGTACAGTTCCAGTAAGTACCTGACTCCTCAAGCTATCCTTTATTTTTTCAAGAGCCAGATCAGGCTAAAAATGGAGCCCTGTTGTCCTATTTAGACGGGAGTTGCCCAGTCCTTACTTCTCAGTCTCGATAGAGTTCAAAAGCGTATCCGAGTCCTTGTGAAGGACGAATTATTTCCCACCCCCATCCTCTCTCTCACAGACGTGGCGAGTATCTGGTTGCCCTATCGCTACTTCCATTGAAATTGCTCAGACGAAATGCATTCCTTGATTCCACCAGAACTAGCGTTCATGGCTAGAGCACACCATGCCACCAATAGCAAACCAGCCACATTCCCTCCGAATTCAATTGGTGAGATGTAAGTTCCACTCGAACAGCTTCTTCCTGCGAACCACTCTTCTGTGGAACAGACTCTCAAGAGAATATTTTCCTCGATCAGTACAATCTTAACCTGTTCAAGTCTAAAATTAGCCGTTATCTTACCTTCCTATCCATATAAACTGCCCCTTAACGTAACCTTCTACCACGAGTGGCTCCAGAGCCTTGTATAGGGCGAACCTTCTGTAAAAAAAACAAACTATCTGACATTCTCATCTATGGTTTCGAGAAACATAGTATCTATCTATCTATCTATCTATCTATCTATCTATCTATCTATCTATCTATCCTAGTCTCTTCGCTATCTATCTATCTATCTATCTATCTATCTATCTATCTAATATATTCTTTATCTATTTATGTTAATGTCTTATCTATCTATCTATCTATCTATCTATCTATCTATCTATCTATCTATCTATCTATCCTAGTCTCTTCGCTATCTATCTATCTATCTATCTATCTATCTATCTCAAACATTCACCTCTCTAAAAAATACCAAATTTCTGCCACACACACACACACACACACACACACACACACACACACACACACACACATATATATATATATATATATATATATATATATATATATATATATATCAATTCGAGTCATATGTAATTTCCGTCTTTGGCACTCAATTCTAAAAAGGAATATATCATATGCGGCAGTTAATAAATTTGGAGTACATTAACATGCCGTTGTATGTGGTAATGACAGCATACACATTTGATTAAAGAAAATGCCACTCTCTTCCATAACAACGCAAGGCCATATACCGCACGAATAACACTGGAAAAAATTTGCAACTCTGTTGATTTGTTCTACCCGACCCGCCATATTCACCTGGCTTTGCACCAACCGGTCATTACCCTTTTCGATCGCTGTAAAACTGATTCAAGACTTCGTCGAAACCTTTTTCATATCGAAACCTGCATACTCTTACTGAAAAGGAATCAAAGAGCTGCCTTGCTAAGTGACACGTCATTGCAAAAAATGGTGAATAGATAATTGAATAAAATGTAATTATAGTTTACTTTTGAAGAGTAAAATTGATACACAAAAACGGAAATTATTTATGAGTCAAAATAGCATGGCCTCATGACGCAAAAAAGCTTTCATTTTACACAGCAAATATTTATTTTTCAACTTAATTTCCTTTCTCGTCAACGTCTCTCCATCAGTTACACACGATGGTTGGCTGGAAAGTTTAAAGGCTGACCAAGATATATATGGAAGCAGATGCACCAGTTGGCAGACCAAAAGACATGCAAGAAGACATGCAAGTGTGCCAGAATACAACATCTGGCCGGCCACTTGCAAGTCTTTTATGTCTACCAGCCAGCATATCAACTTACATTTATATCTTGGTCAGCCTATGAACTTTCCAGCCGGCCCTCGTAGATAAATCATTGGAGAACGAAAATTTAAGATTAAACTTCAAATTATACTTCTGTCAGGCGGAGTGAGGAATCAGAGAGCCGAGTTCGAATTCCAGTCGAATCCATTGCATTCACTTGCGTGCTAATACCCTGAGGGAAGGTAGGAATCCTCTTCTTCTTCCCCCAGCTATGGGTTAAATAGCAGGTCAGACCGAGTTCTGCATCCTTGGATGGCAACTGGTCTATCGCAGAAAGAAATAGCAACCAACCACGGGAAAAAAAATCTGCCTCGTCACTCATGTATCTTTCGATACATGATCGCCTAAGCGTTTATCCCGAATGGCACATAACTGACTGATTCCTTGTATATATGCCGTGTTCGAATTCCAGTCTATTCCATTACATTCATTTACGTGCTAATACCCTTGGGAAAGATATGAATCCTCCTTTTCTCTCCCTAACTATGGGTAAATAGGAGGACAGACCTTGTTCTATAGCCTTGGATGGCAACTGGTCTACCGCGTAAAGAAATAGCAACCTACTGCGAGAAAAAAATCTGCCTCATCAGTCACATATCGAAAGATACATGATCGCCTAAGCGTGTATCACGCATGGCACATAACTGACAGGCTATAGAATTATCAATGCATCCTGTGTAAACTTTAAAAAAATTATTACACTCTTCGTAGAGTGTAATAATTTTTTTAAAGTTTAAAAATATAAAATAAAGCCACTAAAATGAGAGTGAGGGAATATGAGAAAAAGAAGAGATTATTTAAAAAAAAAAGAGAAGAATAAAAGAACAGGGATTAAGAAAACAAGATAACATTGGCACTGTCCTTAAATTTTGTGAATAATATTGGTTTCGGTAAATTGCGTTACAATCTTTGCTTTTGATTTAGGAATCAATGCACCAATAAATACGCACAGACCATAGATGCTTTCCATTAAGTGGCAAATCTTATTCACAACGACATCAATATGCCTTCGAAACTACGTCGGATGTTACGCCGCTGTGGTTACCACTCTCCTTCATTTCTTTCTGTCTGAACCACCATCATTCCAGCCCACCTCTTAATATCTTCAAACCAAAATATTGGTGGTCGTCCCCGGCGTCGCTTGCCTTCCAATGGGCCCAGTAGAATGTCCTTATCGAAACCGCCTCGTCGCATAATATGCCCAGAGAAACGGATCTTCTTTAGTTTCATCTGCTCTCTCAATATGTACCCTGGTTTGATGGTACCTAATACCCATTTATTAGTGCGTTTCACTGTCCACGACCCTCTAAGGACTCTGCGATATGCCCACATAAAAAAAAGTATCAACCCGGTGACTTTCTCTCTTGGTTAGTGTCCAGGAGTCGCATCCGCAACTGGCGATGGCGAAAGCAGTGATTCGTAGTATTTTTATAAATCGCTATTTAAAAAATATGTTTTGTCGGAAAATAAGTATTAAATATCGCTTCGTTGTTTCTTTGGAATTGGGATCGAACTCTGTTGGATTTAAACGAACATACCAATCGATAGTGAGTAAATTTACCGTGGTACGGCAAAAGCCCAAAATAAGAGATTCATTGTAAGAATCGGGCTCAGTTAAGTAGTAATGTTCTGTGTGATTAGTTAATACCACGGCGAGGCACTTTATCTGAAAACACTTTAGATAAGCTTTTTATATCATTCTTTCTTTCATTCATTCTTTCCTTCTTTTTATAAATTGTAGTAAAATTAACTTTATGCAAGACAACAAAGCGACTAAGACAATAGTTTACTGACCGTGAAAGAATTAGAAAACAGAAACATTATTAAAGAGCGAGATCAATAGAAGAGTACGTACTAATACCCTTGGGAAAGGTATGAATACTCTTCTTCTAACCCCCCCCAGCTAAGGGTAAATAACAGAACAGACGGGGTTCTATAGCCTTGAATGGCAACTGGTCTACCGCAGAAAGAAATGGCAATCTACTGTGCGAAAAATATCTTCCTCATCAGTCATATATCGAAAGATACATGATCGCCTAAGCGTGTAGCACTCATGGCACATAACTGACTGACTGACGATATTCAGTCACCCCCCCACGAGGGTGTCATGTGGCACAAGGCCTTTTTAACGTGGGCATTCCCGAGCCATTAGGCTCGGCCAAAAAATAGCCCATTTGAACCCGTATAAACGGGTTCTGAGCCGGTTTTACCTCCCCGAAGGAGACTCCGCCCTTCGGCGTAGCCCCCTTCGGGTTCCTCCCGCCCGTAGGAAGAGAGTTTAACCGAACAGTCGGTTCAGACTTGAACGACTGACTCAATAGTGATTTTCTAAGCGCTGCTTAGATGTGGCACAAGGCCGCAAGTATGGAGCACCCAGTGAGGATCGAACTCACTACTCAGTCGTAATTGTTCTAGCGAGACAAGCTTGCGAACCATTACACCACGCCGACTGACTGACTGAACCAGGAAGACAGTAGGTAACGATTGACCTTGCATTTAAAGTTTTGATACTCGAATTTGGCTGAAAACATGGAACCGGAAGAGTGTTCCACAAGCGAGAAGTGCAAGAGAAGAAACTGTTAGTATAAAACTTGCGGTTACATCTAGCCAATTCAACAGTCCAGAATGTTTGTCATTTAGTCAGTTATTCAACCGAAACGTCCAAAAGAATGCAAAGATTATGTTATATTCAAGCAATGTTTGTAGATGAAGCCGTTTCTGCTCTGGATTTAATAAATGGCATACCAACAGGTAAGTTGGGAACAATTTCAACATCTTCAACATGTTTTGTTTCATGAAAAGAAAAAAAAATGACTAATTTTGTATAAAATGTCATCGCAGTTGCGTAAATGTACGGAAAACTTGATACCAAATATCTGCGTGAGCCGCAGAAGGCGCATATTTTTTATAACCAGCAAACAGCGCATGCGCGTGCGCTTAGACACACACACACACACACACACACACACACACACACACACACACACACACACATTGCTTTTTAATACCGTCTCTTCATAACGTAAGGGATTATGACTCTCTAGATTCTTTTTAATTTTATTATTGGCTGTGAATTGCTGTGAAGATAGTGAATTGGTTTCTCGTTGCATTCATTCTTTTAGATTAGTTGCCTCAAAAGCTTATGCTGTTTAACCCATAGCTGAAGGCTGGGAAGAAGAGACATTTTCATACCTTTCCCAAGGGCATGTGTTTGAAGTATATATATATATATATATATATATATGATAAATGTGTAAGGTAAAATATCTAACAAAGTATGTGAAAATGAATATGTGAAAACGAGTTGGATATTAAACATTTTTGTTCATATAAAAATTTTCAAAACACAAGTAATTATAATGTGCTGTGTTCCTTCCCGAAGTTGGCGATAATGGCTCTCCAAAATTTTATATATATATATATATATATATATATATATATATATATATGTGTGTGTGTGTGTGTGTGTGCGTATATATATATATATATATATATATATATATATATATATATAGATAGATAGATAGATAGAGAGACAGACAGAGTGACAGCGGGTGAGTATGCCTATATTTTTAGGCTGGTGTATTTTTAATCACTTCACATGTGCATCTACTTACATCGTGATGCGAATATATGTACAAATGTATATATAAAGAAAGCAATAACTCTGTTATATATATATATATATATGTGTGTGTGTGTGTGTGTGTGTGTGTGTGTAAGTATACAGCATGATTTATATTGCATATATAGTGCAATATAT